CTGCAAGAAATCCTGTAGAAGAAAATAATGGAATATATTTGCATAAAGCTTTATTATTAACATCTAGCTTGTGAAAATTAGTATATTTCCTGAAATCTGAGTCTTACACATTGTGTTTGCTTTTTTGGTTTTAGTTGTGTTAACCTGATGTTCTTCTTACCATAAATTTCCTGTTTCTTGAGTACTGATTTGGTAACATTCTTTGGAAATTGTTTCAGAAAGTGTGAATTTGCAGTTGAAAAATATCTGTTTCCTCTTCACTTATAAATGCACTATTTTTCGACTAAATGAATACCTCCTTGTTTATTAGCTGATAAGAAGAAGCAATTCTATTTGGTCTACCTACCTTTCCAGTCTGTTTCTACATACGCTTATTCCATTTCTTCTTACTGATTTCTGGTTTAAAGCATAGTGTCAGTCTATATTCATAGGAGCATTTTTCTGTGTCTAAAAATCGTTATCATCAGTTCAGGCCTTGTTCTATTTTTGCTATGTCATCCCTGGGGACATAAAATCTCTATAATAAATTGTAATGACAGAGTATAAATTAATTTAGCATGCATTTAAATGCACTGAATATGTTTCCTCTAAGACTTTTTGTATTTCTTGAACTGACTTCCAGTTGATTCAACCAACTGTCAATTATTTTAATATGTATATTTTCCATAAGTATGTTGCTTTTCTCTTACATATTTTCTTTGGACAAAGGACCATACTGAGTAAGTTATATGCCAGGCCACAAACAGCTTTCTTGTACATGTCAGTATTTTAAATCAAATTGGTTTTGCCATCAATAAGAATGGAGTTTGGCTAGGGACAAAAGATTTCCTTCCCCTTACAGGGCTGGACCTCACTTTTCTATTGGCAAGGCTTAAAATAGTCATGTAAGAGTTCAGAAAATAAGATTAGACCATTTTAGGGTGTTTTCTGGCTCCTAAAACTGCTATATTTTACCACTTACATTAATTGGAAATTGCACTTAAGTTCCAAAATCACACAAAGTTCCAAAAAAGTAAAATGCAATCTTCCTCAAATTGCTCTAGAACAGTTTTTCTGTAATAAATGTGACCTATGCATGTGTATAGAAGGGTGAAATAGAAATATTTTATTTGAGTAAGCTTAGACATTGAGATGACTTGCAGAACTCATGTACTGTAGTCATCTAGAATTTATATGCATTAAAATTGCACATCATATCACACAGTTTGTATTCCCTCATACATATTACATGTGTTTTAGCTTAAAGTATTGTTAGGGAGCTGCTGGAAAGTATGGGGGAAAACACAAAGAAAAAAGTCTTGCCCTCCCTGGACTCTGTTATTCCTAGTTGCTGAACCTCTTCCCCTTTTGCATTTTGGAAGATGTAGCCCTGGCATTGCTTATTTTTGTGAATTTTGGTATGGTTATCACTAGATGCCTACAGCAAAAACCTAAGAGAGCTAAGATGAAAAGACAAAACCACACAGTGTTTTTGTCCACCAATTCAAAAGGGAGAATAACTGAGATTAGACATCTAGGCATTTAAAATTTCATAGGATGAATTCCAGCGTAGGTATCTGGCATTATCAGCTTCCAGAAAGTGAAAAACACTTGCTTCTAAATGGTGGTAGGAATCCAGGAAAGGATATACAGATACTCCAATGCCTGTGCTATGTTCTAGAAAAGTTGCCATAAAGACAGTTTTCACCATAAAATGACTAAGAGTGGGACACCGTGGGAGAAGAAGGTTGTCTCTCTAATGCTTGTGATGCATGCCCAGCACTGCTGGGAAGCGATGAACCTCATCTTGCTGGCAATAGTCTCCAACAGCTTGGTTAAACACTCTGAGTGCCAAGTACAGCTGAGAGGTTGCTGGTGGGGCAGCAATGGTGGATGTGTGGTCTCCAAAGCAGTGTGTCTCACTGTTCCTGGGCTTATTTTTACCTCTTGTTTAGAGAAGCAGCACTGCAGCTGTGGTCACTTCTGCACAGCTTGCAAGAATTTCAGAACAGGCATCTATGGCAAGGTTGTAAAGGGTGGTAGAACCCTTGCATAAAATACTGATTGTGGAAGAGATGAGTGAGTGACACCATGAATATCAACAAGGATTTGCAAGGCAAACCCTGAGGGCTATCGGGATAGATAAAGAACCTGAAAATATTGTGTGCGTACCTGACAGCATGGCAGCATCCAAAGGGCCTGCAGCCTGAAGTCACTGATGAACACTGAAGCCATTAAAAGTCATGCAGTTACATGGTATGATGCAGAGGATCATCTGTTTACTGCTCTTTCCTACCTTTCCCATTTTGGCTTTCTGCCTCCTGAAAGCCTGGTGTATTCCGCCAAAAGAACTCCACCCTTTTCTCTCTTGGGTGAGAGCCTGGCATAAAAGAGGAAAGGAAGAACAAGTTTTTCAGTAGCATAAAGTTTTGCCAGGCCATGAAGTGTCTGCTAAAATCATGCTGTCTGGCTTTGCTTCCAAAACAGTTCAGCCTCCCACTTTCAAAAACATGAAACATGGGAGTCAGAGACAAAGGCTGCATTTTCTGTTACTTTTCTTGCTTTCTTTTTTAATCCCTGCTCTGTTTTGCATGTCTTAAGGGAGACAGGATGAGCCTTCAGAACAAAATCATCAATTTTTCCTCATAATGATATTTATAAAGATGTCCATAACATTTTAAACACCATGCAAGGAGTTCCTAAAAGGGGATTTCACAGCCTTTCTCTGCATGCAACTGAGAGAAACATAACAATGTAGTTGCTTAGAAGAAGAAAATTTGTATTTGTTTTGTATTCTTTTTCATCCTGGGCAGTTCCAGTCTGTGGATGTTAGATTATTATTCTGGAAAAATCTTTGGATTATATGTGTATAATTAATTTTAAGAGGAAATAATACATTTGTAAGCACAAAGTCTGTAGAACAGAAAGTAATATTCTTTATAGAAGAACAAGAGGCAAGGCTCAACCATGCCTTGGGTCTTGGAGACAAATAGAAAATGTGGATTGAAATTCTCACCTCTCTCAGGTCAACTGGATTGATTTTTAGTGACCAGCGCCACGATTTCACACTGAAATCCAAATCTTAAGAGAAAACCTAAGGAAACAAATTAAAAACTTAATATAACTAAAAAAGACCAAAGCCATATAGTTAATTTTGTGTGTATTGGGAGTGCTGTATGGATTTATTTGTGAGAACAAAACTGAGCAGAATCATAAGTATTTGCAGGATTCAAGCCTAATGGTAGAGATGGTGTTTCAGGTAACTGTAAGAAACTTATTTGGTCTTTTCAGTGGTCTAAATACAATACTCAAATCAAATGAAATTGTTGTTTGCTACTTAAAGTTACTCAAACGTGTCAAAGTAAATTATAAACTCTCAGCTCTGCCTACTGAATATTTTTGTTTATAAATTTGAAGAAGGCATGAGAGGTTAAAGATCTAGTTATAAATTGACCCAGCTTTCTAGAAGAAAACCATACTAAACTTGATCTGTCATTCATAACTGAAATGTGTTTCATCTCTTACCCTCTTGAGATGTGGTTAATATTAACAGAAGATGTGAAAGGGAATTCTGGTTTTAGTCTTGCAGGAGATGGAATTGAAAATGAGATGAAGAGGATTTTATGTGTAAACATTGTAAAACTATAGGCTTTTCCAGTCCTTCAAACACTTGTGCACTTGCTTTATGCACATCAATATCATTTTGTAAAGTTCATTTTCAAGACCAAGGTCTAAAACTAAATTGGTGTAAATTCCATGATTTCAGGTTCAAGTGAAGTGAATGTGTCTTTTGTGCAGTTAGGTAATAAATTATAGTTAGCTACACAGCATTCCTAAGCCATTACAGAAATCCATAATCAGTACAGAAGCGAGATTATAGTTGAAGCCATAATGCCTCTGAAGTTCATGGTTACGGATTTGGGTGTTTTATTACAGAAAAAGTGGTGTTTTTTCATTAATTTGTAATTGACTCCATGGGTGTCCATATGCCACTGACAGGGAATTAAAACTACTTTCCTTATGCACGGGTGGCACATGGAGCAACCAGCCTGTGGGAGATGGTGTTCCAGCCCTGGGGTGAGCCCTTTCCTGGCTTAGCAGGTAGGAGCACATTGCAGATGAAAACACCCTCAGCAAAGCATTGCTGTGGCTAAATTGCTGCTGTGTGGCCCCCAAGCAGATCAGGCAATCAAAGAAGACTTGTGTGTCTTTCTTGAGGGATGCTTGAGGGTTATGGCCTTTCATTAAATCACAGTAATGTTAAGCAAGCAGAACAACCAAAAATGTCTTTTTAGTATACTTCCATGGTTCTTTGGGCATCTAACCTTAACTGCGTGTTGAAAATTATGGATAAATGAGTGCCTGGGTGGGGATTTTTATGAAAAAGTATGGTAGCACATAGAATCATGGAATAACTGAATGGCTAGGGTTGAAAAAGACATTAAGTTCATCTCGTTCCAACCCCTCTGCCACGGGCAGGGACAGTTTGCTCAAAGCCATTGAAGCCATTTCTATGTGTTTGAAACGAGACATGTTGAAAATACCAGGTGGTACATAGGGTATTAAATCCGTACCGTTCAGCGACTTAACTGGGAGCTACTGGGACACACTGGACTCCCAACTAGATGCACCAGGCTTTTCTGCCCTGGCTGCAGGCCTCCTCGCGACGAAGGAGGCTGGAAGGGGAAGACGTGCGGTGCCTGTCTCGGCCCAGGCTGCGGGGCATAGCTGAAGAGCCTGCCTTTCCTGAGGTGCACCCCACCAATCCGTGGCGGGGAGGGCTCGGCTGGTACTTCTGGACCATCTAAGGTGGTGTCGGGCCGCCTCTGGCGTCGTGGGGGTACCGCTGCCCCAGCACCACGGACAGGCTCGACTGCACCTCAGAGTACCCCGCGCCGATATTCTGCGGTCACCGCTGCCTGGGCAGAGCCATCCGCACCACCCACTGCACCCTGCGGCCCCTCTTCGGCGGGACCTGAACGGGCCCTCAGGGGGACCTTGTTCCTGGGGTCCTTCCCGTGCCAGCAGAAGGCTGCGGGGGCTCTTCACCTGCGGGGCAAGACCCGGGGTGCTGCCAGGGTCTGACTGTAAGGGAGGGCCGACCCCCGCCAGAGGCCCGGCGCTGTCAGAGCTCGGCGGGCACCGCGCCGGTTGCCGGAGTGACGGGGAAGCCCCCTCCCTCCCTCCTTGCCCCCGCCCCGCAAATATGGCAGCGCGGCAACGGTGAGAGGCGGCCCGAGCAGGGAGCGGTGGCAGGTGAGGAGCGGCACAGCGGGGAGGAGGCGCCCCCGCCTCTGCGGGCGGGATCCTCCTCACACCCGGCTCCCCTTAGCCGCCAGGCCGGGTGGGGGGGCCCGGGCCGCTAGCAGGCCGGCGGGCGAGGCGTTCGCAGGGGGCGGGCTCCCGGCACCGCTAGGCAGCGCTCCTCCTTCCCTCCAGCCCCGGGAGCCCCCGGCCGGGTGACAGCCGTGCTGTGCCGAGCCGAGCCGAGCCGCCCCGGCCGGGGCCGCGGAGGCATCACCCGCTGCTTCCTGGCTCCCTCTCCGCCGGGACGAAGGGAGGCGGGAGCCGCCACCTTCGCGCCCGCCATGTGGAAGCTCAACAAGAGCAGCAAAGTTCTGCTGGACGACTCGCCCGAGGAGGAGGAGACGCGTCCCCGCGGCCCGCCGCCCGCCGCCGCCTGCGCCGCCGCCGCCTTTTCGGCACCCCAGGTAGGAGCGCGGAGCCCGGCGGCGGGTGGGGACGGCCGACGGCGGCGGTGGAGCCCCGCGGCGGCCGAGGACGGGTCGTGAAGCTCGGCCCCGCGCCGTGCTCCCGCTCCTCTATGGCTGCATGAGTAATCACTTTTCCCACCGCTGGATATGCCGGGAGCCTGGCTGTGGCTGGTGAACAGGGTGCTTGCGCGGGGCGTGCAACTCTCACCCCATAATTTGGGGTGCTTATTGGTCTATCCTGCCCTGTTTTCTTCCAGCAGCCGGCCTCTGGCACTGCTGAGACTTGCTGTCCTTCATTCCAGTGGCTTCATACCGCAGGGTACTTTCTCTCCCAGCTCTAGGCAGGGGCTCCGCAACCCGTCTGTTAAGCACAATACATTAAACGGTAATTTGCAAGAACATGATCTTCATTTGCAGATGTGTGCGTGTTTGTGTGAAGCACTGGTGTTTTGATAGGATTGCTTTTTCTATAGTTTCAGTAGTGGTATTTGGCTATCTTTAAAAAGCCCTAACCTTATTCGAAAGCTTTCATTGTTAAATGATAAGTTAAATATCAGCGATGACTTTCTCAAAGTACTGGTTGCCTAATAAATACAGCCTGATAAGGAGGGTATGGGTTGGGTATCAGGCAAAACTGCTAAAAGAATTTTTGTTGACTTGCTTTCAAAAACTTAACAAGTAGGCATCAATCCGGCTCGGAAGCCTGTTACATGGGCCAGTACTTCTTTGTTGCCGAACTGATCTTCTGTTGCCACAGAGTATCTGTAGATGTATGAGAAATTGCAGGAGACCGGCATACCTAGCCCAAGCAGTTGCTCAGGGCCACAAACTGGTGAGATTTGTATTCCAAAGAAAGTACAAAAACCCACCTAGTTTACTGCCCTGTGACTCTCCTGCACTCCAGCTCTTCCAAGCAAAGTAGGCATCTGGATAATCTACCTTCTGCTTGAGTTTCTGGTTGCTGGCTGCTATGGGTTGTCAGCATGTGTGGCAGCTGCCTCTCCCAGTTGCATCTGTTATTCCCTCCATCTTCCAGTGAGCAAAATCATTGGTCTGCTCCCCAGTCCTCGTTTGCACTGCCCTGAACAGTTTGCATTAGAATTCTAGCTGTTGCTACTTGTTTGGCAGCAGCTATCATATGGATGATTAGGATCTTCTCCTATGAGAGTGGAAGAACAGATGCTAACTTTGGAGACCCTCTTCAGGGAATGAAGAGTGATTGTGGTGTTGGAGGCCACCTGAAGTATCTCTCACAGACTCTCATACAACATCTAACTTCTCTCTACTACAGTTCCTACCTCAGGTGCTTGGAAGCTTCCACTGCTTTCACTAAGCTGCTGGCTTTTGCTATCCACAGCCTTCCTAGACTTGCCAACCTCCTGAAAACCTCCCTGCACACCAAAGGTTAGCTTCCCACTAAAAGTAAATTAGTTAAATTGGTTAGTAAATCCCACTGCTGCTCTTCTGTATCACAAATACTCCAAATCCTCTTTGAGGCTCCTTGACCTTAGCCTCCCAGTCAGAAAATGATTCTTCAGAATCGTGTCTTGTCCTGACAATTCTCCCAATTCTCTACTTTAGTAACAGATGTTGGTTGTGGTTTTTTTTGTTTGTTTGTTGATTTGGTGTGTTTTTTTTTTTTTTCCTCCTTTTATTTGGGTTTGGAGGTTTTGTTTGTTTGTTTTTGTCCTGTCCAATTGTATTTACTGTCCTGGACCTCTCTTCCATTAGCAGCAGTCTCAATTTGTAGTGATGATGACAATAATTTCTGGTGCAAATGATTTGCCATTTTCCTAAATTTTAAGAAAAGTCCTTTCCAACTCCCTCAATGTCTATTACCAATGGCACTGGAAAATAAAAGATGTTGTTTTGTATTGGAGGAGGCAGGGAAAAAACCAAATTATTCTAAGGCACTAAATGAAATATAAGATAAAGGATTTGGAAAAGTTAGAGAGGTTGTAGTGTAGTTTGGCAAAGAAAGTGGAGACCATGAGCTATTAGTTGTTTTGTCTGTTAAAGTCAAGAAGATTGGATAACTGAGAGGAAAAAAAAACCCAAAACAAAAACCCCAACCCCTCCCTCAAAATATTTAAATTAGTAGTTATCTTAGAGTGTATGTACGCTTTAAGAAAGGATAGACTATATTGAAAACTATGGACACTTGATTGTCATTGTAATATTTGTGATCTACCAAAGGCAGCTTCTAGGTCAGCTGTAGTTATAGTATGTCTAAAACATGGCTTGGACAGGTGTCAAGGAGAAAGTGTGAGGTGCTCGTTCTGCTTGTTATAGCTGATTCATTTCTAGGACCTTCCTTTTAGTCTTTGATATCTTTGAGGTTTAATCAGAACCTGGTTTTGCTCCCAATAAAATGACTTCAAGAGAGTAAAATCCAGTAATGTGTAGCGGAATTTGGTAATGATCTGCATTTTGCTGCTGCTGCGTCCTGACCTGTTGTCCAGGCCCCTGATTTTGGAGGACAGTAGCACCACCAGAGCTTGGAGGAGTGAGGGGGCAGTTCTCTTGGTACCTTAGCTATACATGAGAAAGTTTCAGTCTTCCTCAGCCTCTGCTCTTTTTAAGCTGTCATGGTACAGCCTGCTTAGACTGTGAATGGAGGATTACCTCATCAAGAGGAAAAGAATCCAGGGCTTCCCTATTTTTCTGTCTTGAAAGCCAAAATCCGGATAATTTGAGTGCTTTTCAGTAACTTAGGAAACCCCAGCATTAGATTTCATGCAGAAATCTACTGTTAGATTTAATTTCCTCTTTTCTGATATATCATTTGGTAAAAGAGATGAACCACAGTCATCACATTTTTACTTTGATTTGTGATATGTTGTTTTCCTCAACAGCTATATTGTGTCTTTATTTTTATTTTTATTTTTAATGGGCAAATGGGAAGAAAATCCTTAAGCCTGTGCTATCCAAGCTATAAATAATGCTAAAAGTTTCTACTTCAAAAGAAAGAAATGGATAGTCGCATCTGTGCCATTAAAACAGACCAGGTTGAAAGTGTTCCAGAGTAATGAGATGTTGGTGCTATAAGCTGCTTCTTTAAAGCTGAGAAGGAGTGAAGAAGTTCTCACTGTGCAACCTAATAATTAGGACATTGCAGGAACAGACAACAACAAAGAGCTAGGCTACTATAAGTTAAAAAACCCCCGAACCCCAAGAAACAACAACCCAAAGCACCCTTTGTTACTGTACAGAAATTCTGATCATCTTGGTTGTGAAGCCTGATGGGGGCTTACTCAAGCAGACATTTGAATTTGTAGAATTTTATAATTTTTACATAGAAAAGCTTAGTTTGATCTGAAAAGAGAAGCTTTGACAGTTCTGGTTTTGTGGAATACAAAATGGTTTGATTTTATTTCGGGGAGAACAAAAACAAATTTTAGAACATGAAAATTGCAATGGGAGGGAATTGTCAGCCTCTGTCCACTTTTTAGCAAAAGTTCCTGCATACATACAAGTGCTTTGAATTGTTAACACTTACTTAAAACAGTAAGGTGTTTCCTGAGATAAGAAAGACAAGTAAATTTTACAACAGTACTTGTGTAAATAAATGTGTATGGGTTTTTTTTTAGACCAGACAGTTTTAGGCTGAATCTTAGAAGTTAATTTTAATTTATGCTTTGAAGCATAAATAGTTTTTAATTCATGCAATGAAGGTGCTTTAATGGCTGAAGTTACAATTAATATATGAAGGCAACTTAACACACACAAATAACACACGTTATGAAATGAAATTAATGTGCCTTTTTTTGTGTGTGTGTCTCTCAAAATATGCCAGAAATGTGCAGTGATGCACGCCAAACTTGCATTCAGTTTTTGTAATATAGTCATTATGTTTCAAGCCGTAGTTATATTTTTGGGAAGGGAAAAATGTTGAGTTTTGGCTTCTGGAAGGCGATGCTGTGGCAGTCATGCGAAGTTCTCCTTCATGCAATCCTGGTGTCATTTCGTCAGTTCTCAGAGATGTCAATGCTGTGTCAATATTGCACTTAGCTCTGATGTAAAATGGTACTCAACTTCAAAATACATCTGTATTGTAGGTTGTTAGGCTGACCTGTATTATCTAATGCAACTTTATCTTTCATGTAAAGATATTTCAGATCCTTAGCCTTGATCTGTTTCCCTGATAGTATTTTTTGTTATGTTCAAAGAGAATATGTTTAAAAGTATGTTTTATGCTGAGTTTTGTTTAGACTTGCTCACTGGATGTTTTAAAGTTGGCTGTATAGAATTTTAGTTATCTATTTTAATGAAGATGTTTAAGTCTGTGGTACAATTTTAATACTGGCTTTCATCTTGGAATGAGTCGAACTCAGACAGGCCGTGCAGGAATGGGTGGGAGCTGAGCAGCATTTCTTATATTCTACTAATACGTTGAATGAGGTTTTTTTTTTAATTAAAAAATAAAGCAGACAGTGTTAATCCAGCTAATGCCTTTCCTTCATTTTCTAACCATTTCAGTGTGTCTCAGGCTCTGCCTGCAGTACTTTTGTAATTCCTTCATACCTTCTTCTCTCTGCTAGTCTGTTTTTTCCTTTCATTAGAGTTGTTCTTGTGACATTTCAGTGACATTTTCCTGGCTAAAATCCATCACCTGTATTCTGTCATCAGTCTTGAGCATTAGCTTGTGGGACTGACAGCAGAGACTTTCCTGAGCCCTCCCTTGCCCTGCCTTTCTTGCTTTTCCTCCTTCTTGTCACGTTCATCTTTCAGCAGCTTCTCGAGTGGGTCCTGTTTCTTTCTTACAGTCTTCCAGGAGACTGCAGAGCTGACTGTATCTTTTGGGGCTTTAGGCTTTCTTCTTTTTAATCCCTTTCATTTCTGAGGTGCTTCACTTCCTCATTTATACCATCATCTTTACACAGTTGACCTGGATCAGATCTTCTCAACTCTTATCCTCTTGCTGTGGGTTTATTCTGACTCTTAGAAGTCCTACAAAGCACTTACTGTATGGTTGGCCTCCAGCTATAGGCAACATC